AGTCATAATTTTTACCAGAAATACCCTTTCTGCTCCCCCTCAAAAAAATTATATACCCCCCCTCCCCCTCCCTCTTTCCATCTTCATCACTGTCTTAAAAGAACAACAACAAGAAACAATGTTGTTGTGTATTATGTTGTGTACTATTATTATTACTGTTTTTTTCTATTTTCTTTTTTCTTGTTTACCGGTTTATGTGGGTTTGTCTTGGTCAGAGTTTTTGCTAAGGCAAGAACTTTCTCACAACAATACACTCTCTCTATCTCTTCTCCACCCACCCCACCACCCCCCATACCCCCAATTGGTTCTGTCTTTTCTATTCTTTTCTCTATTACCCTTTGCCCTATTTGTTTCATTATTGTTCTTATCTTTCTCATTTCACACGCCTCTTTCTCTTCTTTTTCTCTCTTCTGCGGCCATTCCTTTTTCTTGGTTTCTTCATTTACATCCAAAGATCGGTTCTTTTTTGTAAAGGGAAAGTATTTGGTGTTTTGATTTCTTTGTGATTTGATTAAATATGTCTAAGAAGATGAAAAGGGTTGCTTTAGATTCATCAAAATATGTTGTTTTTGAGGATGCTAAGGCCAGATTAAAGCATCAAACTTTATTTCAGGACTTTCAAGAACTCCATAAGGTAAAAGTTTGGCCCTTTGGTTTGAAGATCTATGCTTTCTCTTTGATGTGTGTGTGTGTGTGTGTGTGTGTGTGTGTGTGTGTGTGTGTGTGTGTGTGTTTGGGCTTTTGTGTGGATCAGTTGGTTGATTTGTTTCTATTGGAGTTTGTTGTTGTTAGGTTCCTTTTGGTATGTATGTTGTTTAGGAACTGTTGTTGGTTTTGATCTGTTTCCTTTTGATGATTCTTGGGTTATTTTGTGTCGTCTCTATGTTGAAATTTTGTGGATGAAGCTAACCCTTTTCAGCTCTCAACTGTTGGAGCTTTACCCTGGATTTGATTTTTGTTCCTATGTTTTTTTTTTGTTTTGTGACGATGACATGAATTGAGCGTAAATGGAGAAATGACGATTCATATAGCCGACCCCTACTTGTTTGGGACTGGCGCATTAGTACTTGTTGTTTGTTTGTTTGTTTTCCTTAGTTTTGTGAATGAAACAACAACATACCCAGTGTATTACCACAAGTGTGGTCTGGGGAGTGTGGTATATACGCTAACCTTATCCCTACCTTGTGAAGTAGAGAGGCCGTTTCCGGAAGACTAGGCAGTTTTGTGAATGAATTGTGTGTGCATTGAAGAACTTTTGTTTCCCTAACCTTGTGCCATTTAGAGTTGAGAACATTTTCAATTGCTTGCCCTTTGAGAATTTTAAAGCTTCCCTAACCTTCTACCATAGTTCAATTTTTATATGCTAGAACATTGATTAATCTTTGCTGAATTGAGTCGCATACGAAAGTGTGGTTGCGAATATTCAGTTAATTTACATGTTTAACTTATTAATTTTTGTTTGCAGGAAACTAATGACATGAGGAACAAATTGGAGGATGCAAAGATGAGGAAACAAAGATTACTTGCTGAAGTTCAGTAAGTATTCTTGTTGTGGTTTTTTTTCATTATTTGGGTTTTGTTTACATTTATGTTAGTATAGGTTCTAATAAGAAGATTGCCTGAGGTCAACTTAGTCCCCGACTTTGAAACTAAATCGTCTTGATAATTGGTTGTAGATTAAATACTATGTCTGACATTACGTATATCGCATATAGCATAGATATTCATGTAAAATTATTATAATGCTTACTTGTACTAAATTCTGAACCCATAATTTTAAAAGATGCAACGATATGATGATAAAATCTTAATGGAAACAAGCCAAGTTTAAATCACGGATCCTCCTCCGGCTGATGCAACTGGTTTTCGAAAAATATTTGCAGAATTTTCCCTTTTTTCTTATTCTAAATGCATTCCACGTAAATTTGCAGTTTCTTGCGCCGAAGGCAGAAATACCTACTGCGAATGAAGTCTAGTCATCCGGAAGAGCAAGAACGACCAGCCCCAAATCCAGAGTTTTATTGTAAAAATGGGATGAAGGATCGATTTCCCAGCAAAAAGGAGGCAAACCTATACAAACTGCCCCCTCTTCCTTTGCCAAAACAGAAAGGGAAGATTCAGGCTTCAAAGGAAGCTGCTGCTTCGCTGAAGACGCCTCCTGATATTTTCATGAGTCATAAGCAGACGTTACGTATTGCAAAAGATGTTGTTTTGCATAGTACAGTTTCAAGTTTGAACCATAAATCAAGGGTATATAGTGGAAAGGAAGTGCCGTTTCGAAAAGCAGTTCCAACATTTGATTTGAATCAAAACGACAGATCATTCACCGGGAATGGTTCCGTTTCGAGGAGCACCACACCTGTCTTTGATTTGAATCAGGAAACTGGTCATGGTGGGAAAGACGTCGCATTGCCAAGTCGAGCTCCAGTGATCGATTTGAATGAAATCTCGGTAATTATCTGAACATGAAACCTCAAGTACAGTGTTATACGTTCCTCTCTTCCATTTTATGTGACGTTTTGTTTTTAGTTTGTTCCAAAAAAAAAGGACACATTTCTATATTGGAAAAAAATTAACTTTAAACTAACCATTTTGTAAGAGAAATGTTATGGCATATATTTAAGATCACAAGTTTCAAAAGTATTTCTTTATGGCTTAAACTTTTTGTTCAGTCAAATACATTCACATAAAATGAAACGGGGGAAGTATTTGCCATACATTTTATGACTTAACACGTTTTACACTTGTTGCCTTTGACTTCTAATTTGCAGATGGGGGAAGAGGAACCACAAGCAAATTCTGAACCAATGAAGTTTGAGGATCCAAAGAGAGGTTTTATCAGAAACCTAAACGATGATCAGCCTAGCGATTTGAAGTTATCGATATGCAGAAATGTGGGAGAAGGCACTTCTCGTGTTGAGAAGCGAAAAATATCATGGCAAGATCCTGTTGCTTTGAGGGTTTGATCCATCGTTTACGGTTCCATTTAAAATGTGGTACTTGAAACTTTTGATCTAGGGCAAGCACTATTAAAAATTGTAGTTACCCAAAGAGGTCGTGACTGGCCCTCGGGGATTTTTCGGTTATCAAAAAAGAAAGAGAAAAAGAGGTTTATTTTCTCCAATATGATGTAGGTGTGTTTTTCTTCTTTTTGTATAAAGAAAACTCAGATATATCTAGTGATAATGATATACATTGCTATATTGATTGGCAGTGATGAAATTATAGTCAAACATAATTCGTTTTCTTCAGCAGTTTTCTTAGAGAAGTTTTGATCACAGTTCTTTGTTTGTTGATTTCTATATTAACTTCTTTGTTAAATATGTAAGCGTATTTGTGTAGCTATAAAAGTTTCTCATTGAGAGTAGAATTAGAAATTTAAGTTAAATTCTTTCTAAATTTAGAAATGGGCAATTCTTTTTGGAAGTAACAAATTAGAGAAGAGCAAGTTTCTAATTCCAGAAGATTATTGCCCTGACTATTACAAATCAAAGTCTGTATGTCTATCATAGTCTGTTGTAATGACATACGAGGTGCCCGTGTATCCGCTGTCGGACCGAAATGAATGGAATATACCAGCACATATATCAGAGGAAGATGTCTTACCACCCAAATGGAAAAGACCTCCTGGAAGGCCAAAGAAAAAGCGCGATAAGCCGTTCAGTGAATTGCTGCAGAAGAAAAATCAACATTCATATAGCATATGTGGGTAGGGAGGACATAATAAGCGTACTTGTAGAAATACTCCACGTAGGACTTAGTTCACATTCTGACTTGTATTAGTGCTATAACGACGTGTCATAGATTCCAGTGACATTTTGAAATAATACATATTGATTAGTTGGTATATTTGGATTTTTGCGTGAATACATTCAGGATATAGTTAGTTGGTGTATTGGATTATTGCGTGAATACATTCTGCTGAATATAATTTAGTAANTATACATATCTATACAATCTGCTAAAAGACCATTTTTAGTAAACTGATGAATGTATATCGTATATATACATCTGTTGAATACATACGAATACAATCTATTGAATACATATGAATACTGCTGCACAAAACATTGAAACATCGACTGAATACTTGAAATTATCATATATAAACGCTGTCGATATAATGAATAAAATGAAAACATGATTTTTTCTTAACTGAACACCATCTTTACCAAAACAATATTCAAAAAACAGTATTCACATAAAACTACCTTCCAAAACTATATTCACCTAAAACTACTCTAACACTATCTTCACCGATGTATCCGAATCCGTGATTTGCCTAACAATCTTTGAGGGTGCTTCGTTCTCGCTTATGGCATCAACGTCTATCTTCCACATAGCATAGTCCCAAAGGAGGGCACTATATCTTTCACGGAGTAAATTGGTATCAAATGTTGTTTGTGGAACCAAACCAAAAGTGCTCAGAAACTCTGCGTATGCCGCGACATGCAACCCACAATCCCTGAAAATGTAGATTGAAACAATTAAAAACAATTCATATTATTAGATTTATAAATGATACAAGCAAGAGGATTGAATACATACATGCTCCCAGATTTGTTGAGGTAGATTTGAAATGAAAACAACATCAAAGGGATTAGTTTGTGCCTTGTCACTGTATGGTGAGTCATGAGACCAATCTATGCCTTGCTTATCTCTGTAAAAATCACTGATCGATAGATACAGAGGTACAAGCTTAGCAAGCTTATCTATCTCAGAAGCCACATAGGCATCATGACCTGCTGATCTGTATGAGTCATACACTTTGATACAACTGCCAATATTCAATGAAGTTTGTCCTTCAAGTTGATTGGTATCAATGCATTGTCAACAGTATGCCACAGTACATTAGCTAGCAATCTGTAGCTCCTTATGTACTCACATACCACATCCTCTTCTTTAGCTACATTTGCATTACTATCTGTATCAGCATACATGTTGAAGATTTCAGCGATTCTTGTCTTGAATATACAATCAACAGTTGTATACTTGAAGTTGTTTGTTTGGTTGTACTTGCCCTTCTTGACATCAATATGCTATATATAAAATTGAATACATAGCGTCAGTACGTTGAATGAAATCAAGGAAAACAAACTGAATATAGAAGTATCAACTGCTGAAAACAAATTGAATTTACATAATTCTGTTAGATACATACTGATACATAATTGGCATACTGAAAACAAACTGAAAACAAACCGAATATAAATTGGCATCACCTGTTAGATACATAATGCTGAATACATAGATGTATTTAATATTGAATACAGTTAAATACATTCTGATAACTAAATACATATTGATAACGAAACATACTGCTATATATCAATCGTACAGTTAAGAAACTAATCAAGAATACATACTGCTTTTAAAAAATTGCTAGAGAAAATTGTGAAATAAATATAAATCTGAATACAGTTAAATACACAAGATACCCATAACTCATTGAATTGACCTCAGCAACAGATGTATATTAATAGCAACAGAGAACAAACAGAACTCATAGAAAATATCTATTTACATAGCACATCAACAATATAAATACAAATGCATACAAAATTCGTATGAGTTCTCAAATTGTGAAATATACAATTAGACAAACCAAACAGAAAAAAATGAATTAAACTAAATTTGGAAGGGGTATATCTTACATTATCATTCCATAGTTTACCGTCAAATGAGAGAAGGTAAAATCAATTTTTTGAAGTGACTTGATCAACTCCAAAATCCAACAGTATATGCAGTGTTGACTTGTTCTTCTTGTAATGGTCTTCCAAATCACTTCTACAAGGAATTGGAAAAAATATTATATCCACTTTCTAAATTATAAATACATATTAGACATATCGGGTAAAAAACTTACTTTTGATCATATTTAGCGAGAAGACCATCACGAACCCATTTCTCGTATTCCTGAATGACTAATTTAGGATGTGGCCCCGATATTAAATCATCTTCAAAGGGGTATTTTTGTCAAATATGGGAGTCAACTTTGCTGAGGTACTTATTGTTCATTGAAGTCATTAATAGAGACATTTAATTGTAGATATCATGGGAAAATAGATCATAACTTCATAATACATTATTTTTGTTTAATAATTTACTAACCGATGGAGTCGAAGTTTGACTCGTAAGGCGAAGAATACCACCGACTTGGACGCCGATTCCTATGAGAGGGTAATAAGGTTGAATCAACATTTTTTGCTGCATGATGTATCACAATTCTAGTTTCTGGAATTTGACTTGGAAGAAA